AAAAGCTAACCTCGTGCATTCTTTGTGTGTCAAGGTCATCAATGATATGTTGACTGGAAGATTGCTCAGTGAATGTATGCATTGTTGTAGTTTCCACTTCTGAAAGTGAACCAGTATCATTTGCACTTTTAGTAAGAATATTTATGTAATTTTCTAATCGATCAATTATTCTTAGATCAAGGTGCACATGGAAAGGTTCAAATTCTACATTGATACTGGAAGTAATGGCATTATGTAAGCCTGAGTTTGACAATGATCCTAAATGTCAAGAGAATTACCAAAAATTAGAATAAATATGAAAAAAATAGTAAAAAATTTACATATACCTTCAGTCGAAGCACCACCACTCTTAAATTTTATTTTAATGACCTCTTTTAAAGTATCGCTCCCATTGAAACTAAATTTAGAACTTATTCTGTTAGCTTTTTTCAAAACGCTTTTATCTGTATTTCTGTTTACAGGAAAACTAGGAAAATCTGTTTCTTCGGTATCATAAGAGTTCAAAAGATGTGGATCAAAGTATAACAATGGTGTATATTTGTCAAAGGCAGGAAGTGTAGATTCAGGTTTCAATGTACCCAATTTAGGTTTTGAATTCGAGGTTAACGGATTTTTCAACCATTCAGATATTGAAAATTGTGAAATAGCAATGTCCATTACAAAACTTGAGATGTCATCAACTTCTGAACTCCTTTGAAATCCAGATGAGTGGCCACCAATTGACGTACTACTATTCCGCCTCTTACCCACTGATAATGCATCTGGATCCCAACGTTCAATCTGACAATTCAAGCCGCGAATGTTAATTTTCAGATGATCCGTATTTAAATATTCAGTAGATCGAATGTCAAAAAATTTTCGTCCAATATCAAAATTAGGTAATGAATCGTGGTATAATAAAAACAACTCAATTAAAGATACTTCAAGTTGGAATTTTATGTTGGATACACCAGAAGATATTGTAGGATTAAGTTGTGGAATAAAATCATCATGTTGGAATTTTATGTTGGATGCACCAGAAGATATTGTAGGATTAAATGGTGGAATAAAATCATCATCACTTTCAGTGCTGCTTGTTTCTGAAACGGATTTACTTCTTGACAACAAATTTGCCAAATCAGTAATCCATGCGACATGACTTGGTGTCAATACAGAAATTACCGATTTAATTGATCCCTCGATAATGAAAGATTGTGTACTATTGGCTTGTTGTATAGCCTCTTGTGTGTAATGATACGAAGACGAAGGATTACTAAGATCAATCTGAATTGCTGGAAGGACATCCGGACGTATTGTAACTTTAATCCAATTCTCCTCTTCAGGACATGAAAGAATCATTGCTTCATAAGCTTTCTGAGGAAATTGTTCATCGTTTAGAAGATTTGTATAGTCTTTTGTTCTATTTGATTCAAAAACATTTTCTTCTAAATTTGGTTGACTATTGGTTGGATCTAATTCAGACAACGCTTCTCTGATCCAAACACTTAGCCCAGAAATTGTAACTGATTTTACAGTTTCAGAAAGCGCAGGTGGTAGTGTTACACTTGCAGAACCAGAAGTGTTTGATTGAGTTGATTCATCTTCTAACCCAGGCGTTTCATCTCGAAATGAAATAATTGGTATCTCTAAATCAAGATTATATTCATTCGAACCCTCAACATTATTTAAGTTCTTATTAGGAGCTAGTCGAATACAAGTATCCTTAAAAACTATTTTTACATTCGACATGAGCTTATCAATCAATCTTGCTAAAATCTGGATGCCCTCAATACCAGTGTCTCCTTGTACAGGAGTTTGTTGACCAAAAGTTTCTGACTGATCCAAGCCCCCACCTAGATCATTACCATCCTGTTGAAATACAATACTCCCGTGAACTGATTGAGATATAGAGTTACGAAGTTCTTCGTCTTCATCAGGAGGTATTTCATGACGAAGGAAATCTCCCGCAAAATGAATAGAAGAAGAAAGTATGTGAGAGTCTTCAGGAGAAGCTTTTGCTAAAAAAAATACCGAATAATAAATATTAAATACAACTATAAACATTATTGTATGTTCACTTTTAATTTTAGAAGCAAGTTACCGTTTCTGGGCTTGACGTGCTCGGGAACTGCTATAATTTGCAAATTATGAAATTCCAAAATGCAATCACAATTCCAAATATTTTTCCATGGAATTTTTGCGACGATTCCGCCTATTCGGCCGTCAACAATTACCACTGGTAAATCAGCGACAAGATCATTTAAAACCTATCACAATCAAGAGAAGTAACTGTTAATATAGCTTATAATTAAAAGGGAATTGAATAAGATCCAGTACATATTTCTCAAATTAGAAAGTTATATCGCGAAAATAAGTACCTCTACATTGAGTTGTAGCTCTTTTAAATGAATCAGTCCATTTCCTAGTTGAACTTCAAGATTATCAAGGTCAAGTTCTTCAGCGAGGAATTGACCTAATGCCCTTTTAAGTAGAAATTTGAGGAGTCTCTTTTGGATCGTCGCAGGAACATTGATACTCAAGCCCCAGCCACTAAACGGCCAGCCTTTGTACATGGTTTCTTAGTGTGTAAAAGAAAAAGAAATATAAGTAGTATTATCGAGTTAACTATTGACCAAAGCTGATATTATAAAGTCGGCTTAATAAAGTCACATGATAATAATTTGCAATGCTATTGGGCGCAGCATTACCAGCTGCGGCTTCGGCGTGGCTAATACTGAAGAATTCCACCAAAAGCAGTATTATATGTATGCGCACAGATAAAAGATTAAAAATGTCTTTACAATCTTTCACGAAGGAAAAGAATAAGTCAGGTTCCCGAGAATCATGCATCATACCACTTCC